GCTATTCAGAAAATTGAGATAGAGCTTAACCTCACTTTTAATGCACACTAGGCTTGAAATTTTTATTTTGAATATTATTTTTTGTCATTAATTTAAGGTATTTGTTAAAAATCTGCTTACCATAAATAATAAAATATGAAAATTTCTTTTTTTATTTTTGATTGATTACTAATCGTTACCACTTATTATTTTATGTTTTTGTGTTTTTTTTTTTATGTTCAACCACTCATCTCCTACAACAACACCGACCACAACCAAATTAATCATGATTTTTTAAATCTGAAATTTCAACAATTACCAAATCAGTTATACTATTTTGTATGAAATATACAATGGCGGACAATTGCTTTCCATGTAAGTGCAAAAGTAGTTAATTGAAAAACAATTTTTATTTTTCGTAAAAATTAACAGGCCAATTACCGCCAGCAGACTGTAATTATAAACGAATACAAAACTTACAAACTATATTATTAAGTTTATATTTTTGTACTAATCAATTTGAAATTTGCGAAGTCTTCGAAAGTGCTAGCTAACTTTTAGTTGAGTTTTAAATTATTTAGTTATTTACTAACCACGTAGAGAAATGTGTGTATATATACATGTATTTATGATACTAATTGGAGCAAAATCTTCTTTAGAAATTTATAAGCCTATCATAAGATCTGATCATCGCTGTCACTGTCTGCAAAAAAAAATTTCAAATGCACATTTCTTTTCGGGTTTGTTTGTTCTTTGTTATACATACTATTTGTTTTGTTATTGTTATTGTTTTGAACTAATTAAAACACTAAATAAAAGCGTGACTACCAAAGCTCTTTGTTAATTTTTGCGTTGATTTGTGGGCTCGATAAATCGTTGATTAGTTCAAACTGACTTGTTGGTCGCTTTGCGTATGTATATTTACGTCTGTCTTGTAAATGTTGCAAACTCGAATAACTGATTATTAAACTATGTATTTACTGTATTTGTCCTGCTAGCAGGCAGGCTTGAAAATCCACACATAGTCGATTTGCATAGTGGTAACACATTTAGTGTGTACTCGTGACTCAACTTTCTATTCGTTCACTACTCCAACATATTCGTCAGTGAAAATAAGTTGGTCATCTCAGCTACTCGTTATCTTATTCGTCTATTTTCACTACGAATTCTTGTATTCTTATTTGTTGTTTTAAATTTTCTCATTAATTACGCTGTACAACACCAAAACAAAAACAAACGAATTATGGTGGAGAGGGCCGAAAACAAATATGTATTCGTGTATCGGCGTTTTGAAATTATACGTCTGAGTCGTATTTTAGG